ATAAAAACTGGAAACACGGGCTGGGTGCAATGGATCATGCCTCTAATCCCAGCACTTTGGGAGGCTGAGGCAGCCAAATCACGAGGTCAGGAGATTGAGAGCATCCTGGCTAACACGGTGAAACACCATCTCTGCTAAAAATATAAAACATTAGCCAGGTGTGGTGGTGTGCACCTGTAGTCCCAGCTACTCAGGAGGCTGAGGAGGAGGCAGAGGTTGTAGTGAGCCAAGATTGCACCACTGCACTCCAGCCTGGGCAACAGAGTGAGACTCTGTAGGAAAAAATAAATAAAATAAAATAAAATAAAATAAAATAAAATAAAATAAAGGGAAGCATTCTGGAATATTGCATAACTGATTTAATCCTAATGTGAAGTCAAAACAAATTTCCCCAGCAGTTGAGAGAATGCCTTATATACCACAGATACAATTGCTTTGTAGATGCCATGAGGTCTTCCAACAAACTGTGGGCAGTTCTGTTCATGAACTCTCACAGTTCTCCATCCCAGGCACATTTCTGCGGGGTAATTACAATCAAAATGGTCTTTTCATGAAGGCAGTGTGAAACACTATGCATCATCTATACACACTGAGCTGAAAAAATATTGTATTCATAAATTAAGTTGGACATTTTGAAAGGTTAACACAAAATGCTACTTTGCTGTTGATATTCAATAAAACAAAGAAGACTTCAGGTAATTAAAACATGTGAAGTGAATATTTCTCATTTGGAACCTGTTAAGACGAATGTAAGCAGACAGAGGCAAGAGATAAATAAGGAAAACAAATGAGTCAAAGTTTTTGTTATGTGGTGGCAAGGGAATGTAATGATATATAGTCTGAGGTCTGAAGTAATGTATTTTTGCAGATAATATAACATTTACATTATACAGTATGTGTTAAATGTATGTATATTACTTAATTTAAATATTAGGCTATGATTTTAAAATATGACTGTTCTATAGGTCAAGCTCCAGTTTTGGTTGTTTAGGGCCTCCTTACTGAAATTCTGGCCTACGAACCAGCATGCAGCATGAGTGCTTGCCCGCAGTGCAGAATTTCAGGTCCCTTTTAGCCTGACTGAATCAGACCGGCAATGTAATCAGACCTCCAGGGGATCCATAAGCACACTAAAGTTTGAGAAGCATGAGTTTGGATAACTGCTTTACAGGAAGGTGAATTGCCTCTGAAAAAGTCCTGCGCATTGTTTACTGTCCAAGTCAGTAGTTTCTTGGCTAAATATGAGAGTAATAACTGATTCTACAGAGGGTGTAAGGGTTCGTGGGTCCTCTGTAGCACCTGCATTTCTATCATGTGCAACTAAGGAAAACGCTGAGAATAAAGACAGACTCCATGCCCAACACAACTTGCTTCTGAGCCCTGGTTGCACAACTTTTCCTTTTGTCTAATGGCAGTGTTCTTTTCTCTTTCTTTGTTATTTGCCTATCGAAATTTGATCTGTTGCCGGGGTGCAGAGTTTTCGTCACCTAAACTTTAGAAATTGTTGCAGTGTGATTTTTTTGATTCTTTTGCTGGAATAATCTCAGCTCCTTAGAATTTCTCCAGAATTCTGACCCTGCCTGTAGATACTAGACTTTGAAGCATCTGAATGCTTGTCCGTTTTTACTACCTGACCTCCTGGCTTCTTTGGGACCAACCAGCTAGCGATGTTTGGAAGGAGAGTTGGGGTGTTGGTTCTCTTTTTGGTCCACTCTCAACTGAGGGTACCTCAGATCAGACCTGTATGCTCTCTCTGTGCTGTAACGGATAGCATGTTGGCCTTCTAGCTGACCTGATGTGTGTATTCAACAAAAGCAGTACTGCTAGGTGACTGTCTACCACACCAGACTGCATGTGCTCCTTGGCTGAGTCAGTCCTTAGGTTACCTGCCTATGATTCCTGCGTCCCTCATTTAACCTCCTGGTTTTAGGCACACCACTTCTGCTAGATAGAGTGTATGGCGGAGTATAAAATTAATTGTGCTTTCTCTCCAGTTTTCATATAGCTGCTAGGACACTGAAGTACTTTAAGCTTCTTTTTAGTTAATATGGAACTACAAATATGTATTGTTTTTATGATACAAGATATATTTTTGAGAAGGGTTAAATGATATGGCTTCTGGGTAATAAATATTAATTATCTATTTATCTCTATAATTATTTTCTCCAGTGAAGAGTAAGGCCCTGTGCTGTGTGGTGTGCAGTATAAAGGTGAATTATAAAATACATGGTCTAGAGCCCCTGGTGCACATAACCGTAATACAGGGAGGCCCCTATATAAGTGCTATGAAAACAGAAGTGACAAGAAGGGCATTAGGTGTTTGGAGTAGAAATAAAGTGGACATGGCTTGGTATTTAGAAAAAGGTTCAAAGAAGAGATAGTATCTGAACAGAACGGAAATACTCTAGGGAAATGGCATTTCCAGCCCAGGGCATAGGAAGGGTACAGATGCTAAAGCAGATTTCTGTAAGACGCACCTAGAACCATAATGAACATTTAGGTGAAGTTGAATATATGTGAAGGCCAGCGGTGGAAGACAGGGAGGCTTAACACAGTGTACTACACATATGAACTGGATCTCTGGAAGGAGCAGAACTGCTAGAGATGAAAGTGGGAGAAAAATAGTACAAAGATGTGAAGTTTAGCAACCGAAATCCCTGGCTACTAATGATTAGCCATGGAAAGGTCACAATTAGCAATGAAGAAATGCATAGAAAGTCATTCTTTTTTCATTCTGAGTAAGGTTTCTTATTCTTAGGGGAAAAGGATATGCTAAAAGCCAATGGCACCATCGAGTTTATTCTGAACCACATTACCACAGAGACAAAACCAGACATGGGCCATAATTTTGCCAAATGCATCTAATAGATTGAGAATCCAGAAAACCCATTGATTAAACTTTGCAGCTCAGGACAGAGGAAGCAAGTAACAATGATTTGTTGTCCTGAACCAGAAGAGAACAAATAAGATGAACTGAATGGGGAATAGTGTGATGGAGGAAGCACTTTTCCAGGGCTTAAGACAGGGAGTACAGTAAAAACGATGACCCAGTTCGTGATGGGACTTTTGGCAAGTCACTTCAAATTCCTGGGCTTCAGTGTCTTCATCTGTAGAAAGACAATGATCTCTGTAATTTTTTCCTAGGTCTAACATTCTCTAAATCTAAGATTCATGTGGAAATGCCTGGTCAATGTAAAGACATTATACCTACCTTTCTGCTTCCCTTGAAGGTCACAATGAACAAACAAAATCTGATTGAGAGTCTATGCCAAGCAAGGTGATAAGGTAGGTAGTTCACATTTCTTTCTCAATATAAAAGTAATACAATTTATCTTGAATCTTTCTGTTATTTTGATTCACATGGAACCATTGTTGGATACTCGGGTGCTCAGATATTAGCGGCAGAAGTTCAAAGGCAGAATTTCAGAAGAAGCCCCAGTGACCCTAGACTCCTATTAACTGCCTTATGGCCTGTCAGATGGATCAGAGGAGGATGAGAGGAGGACACAAGTTGGAAGCTATGACATGGGGCATCCTAAGGTGGATCTGTGAGTAGGACATGATGTTGGACATCCAGAAAAATAGCCTAGTCCTAGCCCTGCCTAAGTCCAGGATGCTTAAGCTTCATGTTATGTTTTTGGGTTTGTTTTTTTTTTTGGTTCATACTGTAAAAGATTTTAACACAATTTGTGATTAAGGCTTTTGCTCTCAAGTGTCAAATAGTTTATGCACCACAGGAAGTGTCTGCCAATCAGATAGTTTCAATGGAATGTTTTTTTAAAACATTCAGTGTTTGTAATCACCTCTAAGTACAATTTTCTGCACAGTCTACTCTGGAAAGAAAACTTGAAAAATATTTAAAGAGTTGCATTTTCATAAAGCTATTTACAATTAATGCCAACTAAGTAAAATTCCTAAGTGTTTAAATGTCAAGGTAAAGACAACGCTGTTTTGACCTTCAATTTTTATATGGTGGCTTGTGAAGTTTGAGTAGGATAAAGAGAAAGAATCTTTTATTCCCAAAGGCTTTAAAACCCTGCCTTTAGTAGGCACTGTGTGCCTTGTTTTTGTAATCTCAGGTTTTATAGTCTCCTTTATCAATTGTAAAAGGTGTGGGAGGTGAGTTTATATCTTTCAGAAGGGACACTTGGGTCAACAGGTTGAAAGAATTTTGAAAGTTATTTGTATCTTTGCCAGTAACCGCCTTGTGTGAGAATCGCCATAGCTGGTGTATAAACTACCTTTGAATAAGAGGCAGCAAATGGAATTTATCAGGGGACAATGGCCTTTGTTTGGAAGTAGCAACAAAAGATGAATAAAAGGACACAGTCAGTCTTCTGTGTTTAGGTGTCCCATTTTTCCAGATGAGAAAACGGAATAATATTCAACTTGATCATGTGCAGAGGCCTTGAGTACTTGAGGAAGATAAAGAAAGAAGAGAAATGAAAAGGAAGTAAAGCAACCAATATGTTCTTGAACTGTGACTTCAAGCAGCTGCATTTAAAAAACAACCATTACATTTTGTGGGTATATCTGTGAGGCTTATCTATTATGTGTGCAAACACAATCTGATTAATTTTGTTATAAGCTCATCTTGTGTGCTTTTATTACAGACATCACCTTCAGATGTGGGGCCACTGCAGCTATTAAATCAGGAATATTTAGCTATTATTTGTAATAAATGTCAGCAGGGCTGAACTAAAGGCAGCAGGAAATGTTCAGGGCAGAAAACACACTGACATTCATTCATTCATGCACATTTGTACCACCGGTAGAATTAATCATAAAGAGGGAGGGCAGAGAATACAACGCATTTATATTACTGGTTTGGCCAATTCTCTTCTTCCTGAATATGAGAGTTATAATGTACAGAAACCAATCTGCTGACAAATAGTCCCACGTGAAGTGCAGGAAGCGAGATTAACTCTCCCAAGCAGGCATGTCTGGGCTTATTGTAGACTGGCCCTCTTGCCCACACTGTTCCTGGCCCTCTGAGGCAGCACTGTGGTGTCCTTTCTCCTCTTTAAAAAGAATCTAGCGGCCAGCTCAGCTCGGGAGAGCCGGCGGCGCGGCGGGCCTGGCTCGGGCGGCGTGGCGGGCCTGGCTCGGGCGGCGTGGGGGCTGCTGTGGCTGCTGCTGGGCAGCGTCGGGGCGCAGCAGGAGAAGCACAGCTTCCGGGGCTTCCCGCCCGAGGACCTGATGCCGCCGGCCGCCGCCTGCGGGCACGCGCTGGAGCAGTACCAGGGCGAGAGCTGGCGCGAGAGCGCGCGCTACCTGGAGGCGGCACTGCGGCTGCGCCGGCTGTGCGCGACAGCGAGGCCTTCTGCCACGCCCACTGCGGCGGGCCCGCGCCCGCGCCCACGCCCGGTCCCGACGGCGGCCGCGCGGACGAGTGGGCCCGCTAGCTGCGGCTCTTCGGCCGCGTCCCGGAGCGCGCCGCCTGCCTGCAGCGCTGCAAGCGGACGCCGCCCGCCTTCCAGGCGCCCTACCCGCCGCGGTAGCTGCTGCGCGACTTCCAGAGCCGCCTGCCCTACCAGTACCTGCACTACGCGCTTTCAAGGCTAACCGGCTGCAGGAGGCGGTGGCGGCGGCCTACACCTTCCTCCAGAGGAACCCGAAGCACGAGCTGACCGCCAAGTATCTCAGCTGCTACCGGGGGATGCTCGACGTCGCCGACGAGTCCCTCATGGACCTAGAGGCCCAGCCCTACGAGGCTGTGTTCCTCCGGGCTGTGAAGCTCTGCAACAGCGGGGATTACCGCAGCAGCACGGAGGACATGGAGCGGGCCTTGGCAGAGTACCTGGCGGTCTTTGCCCGGTGTCTGGCCGGCTGTGAAGGGGCCCACGAGCAGGTGGACTTCAGGGACTTCTACCCGGCCATCGCAGATCTCTTTGCAGAGTCCCTGCAGTGCAAGGTGGACTGTGAGGCCAATCTGACCCCCAATGTGGGCGGCTACTTCGTGGACAAGTTCGTGGCCACCATGTACCACTACCTGCAGTTTGCCTACTACAAGTTGAATGATGTGCGCCAGGCTGCCCGCAGCGCCGCCAGGTACATGCTCTTCGACCCCAAGGACAGCGTCGTGCAGCAGAACCTGGTGTATTACCGCTTCCACCGGGCTCTCTGGGGCCTGGAAGAGGAGGACTTCCAGCCCCGGGAGGAGGCCATGCTCTAACACAACCAGACCTCCGAGCTGCGGGAGCTGCTGGAGTTCACCCACATGTACCTGCAGTCAGATGATGAGATGGAACTGGAGGAGACAGAACCACCCCTCGAGCCGGAGGACGCCCCATCTGACACCGAGTTTGAGGGGGAGGGTGACTACGAGAAGAGCATCTATGCTGACTGGTGGCAGGAGCCGGATGCCAAGGGTGATGAGGCTGAGACTGAGCCAGAGCCTGAACTGGCATGAGAAGGGGGCACCCCATACCCCTCGAGCTTGGGAAGCCTGGGCCCCATGGCCCCACCCTCACCAGCCTGAGCAGCAGCAAGAACTTTTTTTTTTTTTTCTGAACATCTTTCTTAAATTAATAGCAAGAACTATTTATTAAAAACCTAAGATGGGGCCGGGCGCGGTGGCTCACACCTGTAATCCCAGCACTTTGGGAGGCCAAGGCAGGTGGATCATGAGGTCAGGAGTTCAAGACCAACCTCGCCAAGATAGTGAAACCCCATCTCTACCAAAAATATAAAAAATTAGCCAGGTGTGGTGGTGGGCGCCTGTAATCCCAGCTACTCAGGAGGCTGAGGCAGAGAATTGCTTGAACCCAGGAGGCAGAGGTTGCAGTGAGCTGAGACCATGCCACTGCACTCCAGCCTGGGCAACAGAGGGAGACCCCATCTCAAAACAAACAAACAAACAAGATGGACCAGACACGGTGGCTCACATCTGTAATTCCAGCACTTTGGGAGGCCAAGGTGGGTGGATCACTTGAGGCCGGGAGTTCGGGAGCCTGGCCAACATGGTGAGATGCCCCTTCTCTACTAAAATACAAAAATTAGCCAGGCATAGTGGCAGATGCCTATAATCCCCACTACTCAGGAAGCTGAGGCCAGAGAATCGCTTAAACCTGGGAGGCGAAGGTTGCAGTGAGCTGAGATTATGCCACTGCACTCCAGCCTGGGCAACAGAGCAAGACTCTGTCTAAAAAAAAAAAAAAAGATGGACACGGCTGACCGGGCCCCGTCCTGCCCCACCCGTGAGCACTGCACCCCAGAACCATCCTGCCTCTTCTGTGTCTCTGGACCACAGGATGGTGGTGGCATTGCAGTTTGGCAAGTGGGCTGACGGGGTCTGCCCTCACCACTAAGCCCCTCATCTGGACAGTCTCCTGGACGAGAAGGTTCCAGCTGCTGACTGGAGTCTCAGACCGAATTGCAGAGGGTCCTCCAGGGTCCTGAAGAGCACTGGACTAGGAGTCTAGTGGTTCAAAAAATGTTTTTTATTGACCAGTAGGTGAAAAAAAAAAAAAAAAAAAAAGAATCTAGATTTATTATCCACATAACTCTTCCCTCTTAAAATTACAGGGCCACTCTAAAGAACATTCCCTGCATACTACTGAGTGTTGGACCAGCTACCCTGTTATGAATTAGAGTGCTTGCATCACATGTGGCCTTAGGAAGTGGGTTGTTGTCTATTAAGAAACTGTCATTTACCAAAAACAAGAGAATTTAATCTACCTTGGTGTAAAGTGAGGTTAAACAATGCATACAACTGACTAATCTCCCTAGAGAAGATTGTAATCACCATTATCAAACACAGCTCTTACTTACACTGAACATCAAGGAGTATAATTTAATTCTATGAGTAAGTAAAGTTAACAGCAGAAAAGAATTAGTGTGTTAATTTTTTTTAGAAAGCTGAGAAAAATGTAGAAAGTATCTCTAAGTTTTTCTCATTTCCTTGTTGCATGAAATTATTACTCACCAGGAAACAAAAGCTGCTGAAAAGAGTTGACAGAAAAATGATAGGTGACTTGAAAGATGTTATTCTTTTGTTTTAGTCTTATGATTTGAATAAAACACATGGAGAGCATGAGGTAAAAATATGCTTTATAAAATAAAATTTTTAAAAAATGCTTGATAAAGTTAACACAAAAGTACTTTAAAAGATGATATACTAATATTGGCAAAAATTAAGAAATTCTAAAATGCTTCATATGTCATGGAAGTTAGTTCAAAGTAATGTTTATCTAAAACGGTATCATTTCCCTTCCCTTCCTGCTTTATGCACATGCTTATAGCATCCATACTACAACTCACTTTTCATATGAATTCTAAATTGTGATAGCATCATTCTAGTCCCATTTTTTTTTTTTTTGAGACGGAGTCTCACACTGTCACCCAGGCTGTAGTGCAGTGGCGCGATCTTGGCTCACTGCAATCTCCGCCTCCTGGGTTCAAGCAATTATCCTGCCTCAGCCTCCCGAGTAGCTGGGACTACAGGCATGCGCTGCCACGCCCAGCTAATTTCTTTTGGTATTTTTAGTAGAGACCAGGGTTCACCATGTCGGCCCAGATGGTCTTGATCTCCTGACCTTGTGATCCACCCTCCTCAGTCTCCCAAAGTGCTGGGATTACAGGCGTGAGCCACCACGCCCAGCCAGCATCATATTTTTGACATTGATTTTCTTAGCTTAGGTGTTAGGAGAGTACTTTTATAAGTCAAATAGAAGGGGAAATTTTTGTTGATTAAATGAAAATGTTACTGATTTAGTAAAGTAATTGAATAGGATGATTTGTGCTTTAATTAGGGTGATCAGTAGTGGCATCTAGGTGACGGGTGGAAACCTGTTTTCATGTAGGGGATATCTGGAATTCCAATGAAGAAAACCAAAAAAGGTGACAAAGCATTGTGATGTCACAGCTTTCCGAAGCCGAGCTACTCTTTTTAACAGAACCCTGTGATATACTTATTTATTCCATAACTCATGCTACAGAATATTTACAAAATTATAGAAACATTTTAAAATAAATGGATAAAAAGGGTATACATTAATGACAACAGTACAGTAAACGTCTGTTTACAAGAAAGGTCAATATCAGGGGGATATTTTCACTGCAGATATACAGACTATTTGGCCTTATATGCATCACTAAAGCTGAATCAAAAATTTGACTCTGGGCTTCCTGGTGGCCAAGAAGAAATGGCAACATGACCCTTATGTAATTGAATTGTTGAAGAGAAGAAAGCTTTAAATATCTGAGGCAGGTAGACTCTATGGTGCCCCATGATCCTTGTCTCCTGGTATTCATGCTCTATGTAAACCTTTCCTCTTCAGGACCCATGACCTCTATCCAAGAGAATACAGCCAACGTGACAAGACATATGTGATGATAGGCAAGTACTTACATAAGATTGTACCTCTCATCTTGCTAGGGCTTTCAAAGTGTCTCCTTTACTGGCTTTGAAGAAGCATGATGCCATATTGTGAGCTGCCTTGCAGAGAAGCCACATGGCAAGGGGACAGCAACCTCTAGCAGACAACTAACAAGCAATGAAGGCCCTCACTGTGGTAGCACAAGATACTGAAATGTTGCCAACAACCACATAAGCTGAGAAAGATCATTTCCCTCTTGAGCTTCAGATGAGACTGCAGCCCTGGCTGACACCTGTCTCGAAGCCCTGTGAGATCCTGCAGCAGAGGGCCCAGCCAAGTCATTCCTGTACTCCTGGCCTGCAGAAATTGTGAGATAATAAAAGTGTCCTGTTATAAGCACTATGTTTGTTGTAATGTTGTGCAGCAGTAAATAACAAATGCATAATTTTAAGAAATCATTTTTAGTTTCTTTGCTGTTTGGGTGCTAAAACCGTTCTTTATTTTTAATTCATTTTTGGAACCAAAGGATTATTTTGTCTCCCACATCAATTGCCTGCAGCTTCTATTCCTCTTAAAAACTTGCTCCCTTTGCTCTCTAAAGGCAGTTACTTCACTTTCCTGTGTATAGTCACCTGTTCATCTTGAGACAGCTCTCTTTTCTCTGCACCCAAAGACAAATGAGGGTTCAGTCTCTGGAGAGACTAGAAGATTGTGATGTTGCTTTAAATAATAAGTATAGCCCAATTTACAAAGTAAAAGTTTTATACAGGAGATAGTATGAAACACATTTTATACAAAAGTGTTAGGCTGTGTTCTAAATGCTTCTGTGTTCACTTATTTTACATTAATACACAATATTTTTATGAGAAAATTGAAGCAGAGAGGCCAAATAACTTTCTCAAGCTTACTCATTTGTTAAGTGCAAACTAGAATCAAAGTCCCAGAGATTTGGTTTCACAATCTGTACTTTAACTACTATCCTATGCTGCCTCTCAAATGCTCTTAGTAGGGTAATACAACAATTAGAGTGAATGTGATTACTCAGTGAAACTGAACCTAAGTCTCCTGGTGGCACTAGCAAATGATGAAATGCACTGTCATTTAATTTTCATTGTGTTTGAAGAAAGATTTTGTAAAATGGGCAATGAATCAACCTCCATATAATAAAAGAAAATTTCAAGACTTGTTTTTGAAGACAATTTAGCTTCCCAAGTTGGGCAGATGACCTAAATCACCTCTTTATCAGAAGCCTTATGCCAGTGTCAACTTTGATTTATCTGAGCTTTATTTAGAAGGTAGCATTTTCTTTCTACTTTAGTATTGTCATTGAGCCTTCAAATTTAAGCACTATAACCAATGGGTGTGTCTTTTAGGGATAAATCATCTTTGGCCTCCTGTAGCCACTCCTCTATCCCCATCATTTCTTCCATGATTTTGATGAAGTCTTCTGTAGCGTAGTGGTTAATTTCAGGTGTTAACATGGCTGGGCCATGGTGTCCAGATATGTGGCCAAGCATTATTCTTGATGTTTCTGTGAGAGTGATTTGGATGAGATTAATATTTCAATCACTAGAACTTGAGTAAAGCAGATTTCACCCTATAATATGGGTGGGTCTCATCCAATCTGTTGAATGCACGAATGGAACAAAAGACTGGCCTCCTCTCAGTGAGAGGAAATTCTGCCAGCAGATGGCTTTAGACCCTGAACTGCAGCATCAGCTCTTGTTGGGTCTCCAGCCTGCCAGCCCATCCTGCAGATTTTAGACTTGCCAGACTCCAAAACCTCATAAGCCAATACCTTAAAATAAATCTCTTTCTATGTATATCTATACACGCATCCTATCAGTTCTGTTTCTCTGGAGAACCCTGACTAATACAATACCCATGGGCTTCAGGGAAGGTTTGTCTTCCATTTCAGCCATAGGAGGTGAAAGTGAGAAGTGAGGGAAATTCTGCTGGGGACATTTTGGGAAATATCTAATCAATGATGAAAGGTGATACAAAAAAGGAGACCCTTCCTTTTATCACACTGGACTTTGTTAGCAGTTGTGATGCCAGGAACCATGCTGCCCAATTCGGGATGATGGGAGAAGGTAGCCAGAGGAACCGAGGCAACACTCTCAGGATGGCACAGCAGGAAGCTGATATTCTGGATGCCTGAGATATCATTTAGCTGCTGAGTGAGTCAACCTAAGAAACTTGAGTTTGGAACTTCTTAACATACAAAATAATAAATATCTATATTTGAGTT